AAAAAAAAAAAAATGAGTCCATGAATGATTTCACACCTTGTTACCCCTCAAAATAATATTACGTCCAACGTAAATGAAATCGTTTTAATGCATTTATATAGCCCCTTTCAAGGGGACCGGGCATACTTGATAATAATATATATTTTTATATTAATTGTAACATGTATGTATGTTAAAATAAAATCTTACAAACAATATAACAGAACAAATACAGCTGGGATAACACTTGTGTCTAAAATAAATAAAATGTTAGCATTAACTAATTTATGAATCATTCAGCATTTCTGTGACCATTCCAAATATGTCATATTATGTCAACAAGGATAAACTACGAGAAATAGAACACATCACATTGTTAAATTTCTTTCTTATATTCAAAATGCAGAAAAAACATATACTTAAAAAATAAAAGACATACTGTAGTTGCATCTTTATCCTAATACTTCTCATATGGCTTCACATAGCATATACAGCTCCTGAAGATAGATCTCTCCATCTAATAAACACAGTTAAATGAATATCTCTGAGCAGTAACGTCTTTGCATCGGAGCCCATTGTTGCAGGCAGCAAGTCAAGTGTGGTAGCCATTTTGGTAAGTGGGCCATGAAGTGTAAAAGGGGGTAATAATGGTACGAAGTTAGGACTTTTAACCCTTGGGGGATGTCAGAAATAAGGTCATTAGAAACCAGTAGCAGCAATAATACTTGAGAGAGTTTGTGCGGCAATGGTGTTCAGGGCAAATGTTGGCGCCGTCAGTGGCGTTAGCAGGAAGAGTTGATGCTGCGGCGTCTGCAGCGCGAAACTTTTACACTCATCTGTGATCACATAGCACTTCAGTGGCTGGTGGGAGAATCCATTTACAAAGTCCTCGGTGTTTCCTTGGTGGGTGCCCCCCTCCTCCTCCGTGGTGCCCTCCGCTTCCTCCTGCTTGAAATAGCGTGTCATGCAGAAAATGTAGAAGCGCTTCAGCAGCTCCCAGCAGCGAGCCTCAGAGGGTGAGGGTGGGTCCCTTTGGGGGTAGGCGCACGAGGGGGCGGGCATGCAGGAAACGGAGCGGTGGTTTTCGCGGTTGATGAGTAGGAGGGCCAGTACGTCAGGCCGTAAAGTGACGGATGAGGGAAGGCAGCGTTCTCCGATGGCGAGGCAGTCTCTCAGATTGTCCACTAGGGGTGACCAGAAGCGGCCCACCAGGGTGCTTTCAGCACCGTGCAGGGAGGGCGTAGGGCCGCACAGCACGCACACGTCAGCCCCGGGGAGCAGCTGGAAGCGAAGGAGACGGTGAGCTACTGTAGGGCTGCCCTGCGGGAGGAACACTGGGTAGTCACAAGAGGCGGCGCCGGAGTCAGAAAGGGCTCGCATTACAGCTGAGAGCAGGACTATTTCCTGAGGGGCCAGGCGCCACCACATCTCTGTGGCGGCGGCGACCCGCCCATGGATCAGGAGGCAGCCGAACTCGCTGTCGGCGGCTTTGGCGAAGCTCTGCACTGCCTCCTGGAGGGGGACTGGCTGTGGGGGCAGCAGACAGTCAGCGCAGTGTGTCAGGTGGCCCAGGATGCCTGGGCGCCGCTCCTCCAGCAGCTCATCGACGAGGCTGAAGCAAGAGCGCAGGTCCCTCTTCAACCGCTCCAAGTTCTTGGCGTTAACCAGCTCATCCTGGCCAAGCACCATCACCATGCAGTTCCACACGTTCTCCAGGAGGCGCTGGAGATGCAGGCGCTCGCCTTTGCTGCTTTCCACACCCTGGCCGCTGCTTTCCACACCCTGGCCTGCCTGCTGGCTCGCATTCACAGCGATGAGCATCACACTGTCCTGGAAAACTCGCCACACCACTCTCCCGCCGCCCTCGGTCTCGCAGCTGGACAACGTCACCCCTTGTCCACTTCCGAACATGTGAACGCCATTCAGGGACCCAATGATTGAAAAGGGGAGTTGCCTGGAGGCCCCCCTTGTGAATAGGGGAACCCCACTGCTGGCCGTGAGGCACACAAGCTGTATGGACCCCTCCTGGAACATCATGCTAGGGCAGGAATCTAACTTTGCCACAAAGAAACAGACACCACAGTGTGATGGAAAATTCCAATCGAAAAGGAAGAAATACTCCTAATG